TCGAAATCCCTAGTTTCTACCAAAAATCCTCAATTTCACCATGAAAATCTTAGATTCTAGGTTGAAATCTTGTAAAATAAAGTGAATGATTGAAAGCAACGAGTTAAGAATTTCTTACCTATGATTTGGGAAAGAAATTGCCTTCGGAAAATCGCCTAGAGGGTTTCTTGTTTTGAAAGATTTTGGAAAATGAGCAAAAATCCCGTCTAGGTCCCTTTTACGCAGTTGGAGATATCGCATTTGCGACCTGAGCTTCGCAATTGCGAAGCTCGCAAATGCGAGAAAGGCATCGCAAATACGAACCTGTCGCGTTTCTGCTTTTGTCGCAAATGCGAACATATTGTTCGCAAATGTAGAGCTGGGATCTCAATCGCGACCACCTTCTTCACAAATGCGATCCCTTCCCCAGACCAACTTCGCAAATGCGAAGGATTGTTTGCATTTGCGAACATAGGCTGGCCCGGCTTCTCTTCGCATTTGCAATGAGAAGCTCGCAAATGCGACCTCAATAGTAGTCGCAAATGCGAAGCTTGACCATGCATTTGCAAGGTCTGAGGCCTGCAACACAGCTGAAGAATACCAACAATTTTTCTAAGTTTCAAATTACTCCATAGCCTATCCGAAACTCACCCAAGCCCTCAGGGCTCCAAACGAAACCTACACACAAGTCTTAAAACATCATACGAACTTGCTCGCGCGATCAAATCGCCAAAATAACACCTAGAACTACGAATTTAGCATCAAATCAAATGAAATTCTTAAGAACACTTTGAAATTCCTATTTTCACAAGCAGACGCCGGAATCACGTCAAATCAACTCCGTTTTTTACCAAATTTCACAGACATGAATTAAATATTATTGAACCTGTACCGGGATCCGAAACCAAAATACGGGCTCGATACCAACAAGATCAAACATTAATCAAATTCTTTAAACCATTAGATTTTCAGACTTAAAATTTTAAAAAAAAAATCATTACTCGGGCTAGGGACCACCGAATCCGATTCCGGGCATACGCCCAGGTCCCATATTATACGGACCCACCGGGACTGTCAAGATACGAGTCCGGGTCTGTTTACTCAAAACATTGACCGAAGTCAATTAAATCAACTTTTAAAGGCAAAATTATTACTTTTCACATAAAAGCTTTTCGGAAATGTGCCCGGACTGCACACGCAAAACGAGGAAAAATAAAATGAGATTTTGAAGGCCTCGAAATACCAAATTAGGTTCTAAAATACAAGATGACCTTTTGGGTCATCATATTTTATTATTTTTAAAATCATTATTTTTATTTACCAAGGGAACAATTAATAGGTGATCATAATAATGTAAAGCATGAAATAAACGAAGGAGTGAAGTAGTGAATTTATTAATCAAAACCCATGAAATATCTACTAGAGTCTCCCAAAACCCGATGTCACAAGTGCACGAACAAACTAGTAGAATATACAAAACCTCCTATACTACTTCTGGAATAGGACAGACAGAAAAATAAATACAACAAAGAAGAGACTTTGGATGCTGCAGAATGGAGCATAAGGAGCAGCTCACTACTAAGTCTCCGTGTAGCGGGGGTACGCGCATGAATGGCCACTAGATGGACCTGCCTCAGATCCTGCACGATTAGTGCAGAAGTGTAGCGTGAGTATATAAACAATCGTAAGTATCTAGTCCAACCTCAAAGAAGTAGTGACGAGGGGTCGACGTCGACACTTACTAAGGATCAATATCTAAATTGCAGAAATTATAAATGGGCGTGGAATACATCAGTAACAACGGATTAAGGAACAATAAATAAGGGGTTCTTTAACTAAATATCAATTAAAAATCTCCAACTATCACATACTAATTTAAATGAATAAGAGCCATCAAGTAACTATAAATTCTCAAGTCATGGAAGAAATATCAAGTATAATTGGACTCCAAACAATATCACGCACATTAATGCCGAGGTCGTATGGACCGATCCAGAATAGTGTGTGCATTGCCGAGGGTCGATCGGCGCGAATCATAGATGCATCTAATATATACTGCCAAGGCATTCGGCCCGATCCAAAGGAAGAAATAATACTCTACGAACTCCGATTAACGGCTAATACATAAGAATAATACTCAAAGAAGGCATAATTTCCACTAACAGTCAAGTAACCCGCCAAAACTCAAAGTAATGAAGCTAAGTCTTTACAAATCCTTTATCCAATTTCAATTATAATTTAAGTAATTAAACTAACAAGTTGGGTGCAAATAATACAAGTAATACATGGTAGAGTCCTAAAACTACCCGAACATAAGCATGATTTTAGCTAGGTGTAGACTCTCGTAACACCGTACGCATGTAGCACCCACAATTATTAGCAAACAACCATTTATAGCACCTAGGGGATAATTTCCTCTTACAAGTTTAGGCAAGAGACTTACCTCGTTTCCAAGTCCACTTCTCGGTCCACAATTCACATTAAATTCCTCAAATCGGTGCCACGCAATTCGAAACTAGCCAAATATTGTACAAACTAATCATTATATGCTCAAAAGTTTATAATTTAACTATTAGAGTAATTACTCAACCCAAATTGGAAGATTCCTAAAATTCACCCCCGGACCCACGTGCCTGAATTCCAGAAATTTTTGTAAATGAATGTTACCCATAACCTCACGAACACAAATATATAATTTTTACTCAATTCCATAATCATTTCGTGGTCTAATCCCATTTTTATCAAAACTTAGGTTTTTCAACAAAATACTAAATTTTTTATAATTTTCATGTTAAAATCTACCCATAATCTATGTATTAAACTCACATTGTGTAGAATACGCTTACCGCAAGATGCTAGGTGAAAATTCCTCTCCAAAATCGTCCAAGAGATGTGTGAAAATGAAAGAAATTATCAATGATATGTCTCTTTCAAAAACTATTGGCAATTTTTTTTTCTAATAGGTATTGTTGCAATTCATTGAAAACACTAAATGAAGCAATATGCAAAATTTGACGAAGTCTGTAGGCGAATTAGACTAGGTTGGAGTTACAATTCATTACCAATGATATAAAATACTTTTTAAAATAAGGGAAAAAAAGAGATTATTTTTCAATGAGTATAGTTGGAATTCGTTGAAAACATATAGAAGAGGCAATATACAAAATTTGAGCAAGATTGGAGGTGATTTAGACTGGTTTGGTATCAAAATTCGTAATTAAAATCGAGTTTAAAAGATTCTTTTGCGATACATCTATCAAACATATACCATTGTGTGTGTGTGTGTGATACATATTTGATATATATATATTATACACATATCAATTTTGTTTCATGTTCATATTCTACCTCGAATTTCATCTTTTACTTCGCATTTTCAATTCAATCCAGCTCAAAACTCCATCAAATCATCCCAAAACTGAGATTCAAACTCTTTAAGATATACTCAATCTATTCTACTAATACCCACTCAAAAGAAAGCAAAAAATTTGACTTTCTTTGGCTACAAATAGCTAATTGTCTAATATTGATAATATTTGACTAATATTAGTAATATTTTATAAATTGGCTAATTTTTATAATAAACTGCTTATAGCCGAACATAGATGGTAAGTTTCCCTTGTATAATTTCTTAGATTCAACATATGACTTGTTCAATCAGGATGTAGACCCCGCCAAGGTGAATCAAAGTCTCATTCTCTACGTTAATAGTCTGAATCTGGAAATGTTGGGAAGAAGAAACCCCAACCTCATTCTAAATTTCATGGAGTTTTGGCTAGAGATGGAGAAGAGGAATGAAGAAGAAGTCGACCTATTTTACTTCTCTGTTCCGACCAAATTGTGTTCGATACAATCTATATATATGTTATACTTAGCTCAATGTTTGGGACGCGTGGAAGAGTCGCAGCTTATGGATCAACTTATGATGGATCAATTGTACACCATCAGATGGTTTTTAATACTAGAACTTTCCTTTCCTCACATCACTAACATGTGAGGGAATATAGGTAGTTGTATAGAGAGAATATTTCGGTTATTAGTAGGCAAATTAGAATAGGACAATTGTACATATATAGCCTCTTTCCATTTTGTTATTCTTTATTTCAGATGTAAGAGTATATATATACATGTAAAATAATAGTGAATGAAATACAATAGAGAAAATTTTCAATTTACTCTCTTCTTTGATTCGTACAAAGTTGTGTGGTTGACTACTGAGTAACTCTATATCGATCCAAATTCGATCACATTACTTAAAAAGTTTCACAAATACATACACTATTAGCGTCTGAAATTGAGATAAACTTTAAAAAAAGGATTAGTTGATCAAGTGTATACGCAGCAAACTATTTTGAAAGGTATCGTAAAAAGGATTTGGTTCCCATTAATTTTCAACCAAATATAGGTTCTTTTATATCTGTAGAGTATCATATCTGCCATCACTCTTATTTTAGATGAAAATTAACACGATTTATAGCTTAAGTATTTTATTTGTCACTATCTATTAAGAAAGGAAATTATTAATTGTAATGCACTCTTCATCTTAACAAACTCCATTATGTTTGCCGTCACGTGATAAGGAGCAAATTCTGAAGACAGGGAATGTTACTGCCTTGCTAGAATACGAAAAAACAAATAATAGAAACTAAATGACAATTTTGCCCTTGGTCGACCTCTATTACAGTATTCATTGGACCAATCGTAAAGTTGTGACATATAGATCACATGTTCGAATCGTGGAAGCAGCCACTTGCATTAGGGTAAGCTATCTTCTCTACATCACACTTCTAGGGGTGCGGCCTTTCCGCATACCCTACGTAAATGCGAGATGCTTTGTGCATCGTGGTGCCCTTTACTAGACCAGTCGGCAGAAAAGTCGCTCTCCAATTATATTTGGGCCTCAGGATTTCACGTTTCTCTTATATATATTGATCCTCTATTGGATCCACCTTTCTTCAAAGGATCTGCTCATCCTCTCCTCCTTTACATTTCAACAAACTCAGCTCCTTAGACTCGAGAAAATGGCCACAAATTCTCCTCCATCTGAAGATTACATAGACATTGAAGTCATGAACTATTGTCCTTCTATAGTCTCTTTCCCTCAAAATAGGCAATTTGAGTTTCAAATGGCCTCCATTACAAATGACGAAAAAACCTCAGCTGATGAACTCTTCTACAAAGGTAAACTCCTTCCTCTTATTAACCAAAAAATACTTCCAAACTCAAAAGATTCCTTTGAAGAAGAAGAATTCTTTAGCATAAACTTGTTAATCACACCCTCAGGATCTTGTAGGGTTAGTTTGGAACTTAATCCAAATGATCACTTCATTGAGTTGTCCACTGAACTCATTAATAGTCCTAAAAAAGTGTGGTCTAAGAAGCTCAAGCTCATTAAACAATCTTCATTTAGCCAAAAGATTAAGGCTTCAAAAGCATATCTCAAATCTTTGTTTTGTAAATCTGCTTCTACATATGAGTATGATCAACAAATTTCAAATGGTAATGATATGATCAAGGTGTCCAAGAAAATACCATTGAAAAATAATAGAAGATGTGCAAGTCCAAAACAAGACAGTATAATAAAGAATATTGACAAGGAAAGAGCAGTGGATAATGTTAGTAGTAATAATCATAGCAGGTCATTTTCTGCAGCAAAATTCAAGCGGAATTCTCCAGCAAAATCTGGTGGTTCTACTTCTTTCTCATCATCTAATTGTTCTTTCAACTCCAATAATGGCTTTTATGAGTTGAATTTATTCAAGAGAAGTAGCAGTTTCACTTCAGAGATGGGTTCAATTGAGGCTGCTATTGCTCATTGTAAAAACTCCTAAGAGCTTACCATTCCAACAAACAAATTGATCAATAATATAGTATTTGTTAGTTTACTTAATTCATGTCTAGTTTGGTTTTGTTTATGAAAATTATATTGGAATAGGTTTCTAAGTCTAGTCAACAATTTGGTTTTGTAGTACTATAAATAGGGGGTGTTACTACTTATTTCCTAAGGTTGTAATGTAGAGAGGCAACTATGAGAAAGCGATGTAGAGAGAATTAAGAGTTTTTAAGTGAATAAAAAAGATTTTTCTATCCCGTTCTCTCTCTAATTTGATAAATTTCTTCTATATAGCATTTGTTGAATTTTTTACTTGTGCCTAAATTATTCTTTGAATATTTCAATCAACTCCCAAAATTGCCGTTGATCAGAGTCAAGAAATTAAAGACATGGTCTTTGCTGATTTTGAATAAAATTCTTTTTTTTTCGATTATTTGTTGCTGCAAAATGTTGGCTATGCTAACAAAGTGATGTATTAGAAGTTAATAACAAAAATAAGTTACATAAAATAAGGTATAGGGTTACACTTAATGTTGTGAATCTTTTAGAGGATGACCTTGCTTGCTCGGCCTAAAGAATACTATATCATACCAAGTTAAGGATATTAGCCATGCCATATAATGAATCTCCAAATGAATTTATAAATTTCGGCAATGAGCCATGAGAAGCAGGGGCGGATCTATATTATTAGGAATGGATTCATTTGAACCCAGTAATTTTTTTTCAAACTCTCTATTTTTATTAAGAAACCCGTTAAAATACAAGAATATTTAGCTTGAAATGCAGTCCGTTCGTTTGATTATTATTGTATATTAACTTAAGATCGTTGTGGAAATTTATAAATTACTTCAACTCTCGAACCCGTCTCTGACAGAAAGATTGTTGAGTCTGCAAGGAAAATCCCATCCTGAAAGTTGATACAAAAAAAGTACATATGAAGTGTAGGGATAATTTTAATTGGGGTGAAGCTGGTTGAAGAATTATGTAGGCTTGGCTCAAAGCGAATAGTATTACATCACGATAAGAATATCTTTGGTTGGTGCCTGGTGCGAACCTAGGCACCAAACCCATACTCCCTCCAAATTTTTCCTTTTTTACTTCAATTTGCATGCAAGCTTGCTAAACCACAATTGGCTCCTACACATATAAATATCATTATTAAGCTCGAGTCACAAATATTTACATCAAAATTAACAAGATCGAGGCATATGCAAGGCAAATTATGCAAAAACATGAAATTTTAGCCTAACATCAGTGGTGTATATAAGAATTTGTGTCATTGTATTACAGGTTATTAATGCGCTTTAAAAGGAAATTTGAAATAGAATGCATAGCCATTATACCACTAATACATATACTATAGTTGGTTGCCTTTAGCATCCATCTTTGAATCATTTTCCTATTTTAGTAGATTTTTGAATTATTGGAGAGCACAACGACAAAGAAGAGAAAACAAACCCTAAGCCAGAAAAAAGAAAAAGAATATTATAATATCAAATAATAGCCATGGCATTCCTTCACCGACTAAGAAAAATGGGGTCTGGTTTAGCACTTCCTTATCAGGACAAATAACTCACATTTAGGTATATTCCTATTTTGGGGATATTGACAATTCAGCATTTTGGGAAATCATGTAGTATGTTCTGAAAGGTCTAAAATAAGAAATAGGGAAAATGCCTCATGATCTATAGCCGAATTTTCAATTACATACTTTATTTTTACGGGGGTCCTATTACCTCCCTCCCCCTCCCCTCCGAATTCTTTTTAAATGGAATTGGTATCACCCTGAAATATCAATACCACATCCGTGTTTGGTGGTGGAATACACGCGCCTGATATATGTATTTCCCACTAAAATCATTTTTTTCTAGTTTTTTTTCCATCTACTTCCTTTCCCAACTCACTTTTTGTTTTTTTAAATTTTTTTTCCCTTTTCACACAACCCACCTTCTCCCATCCCCCAACCCACAAGTGAAGTAGTGAAATTATTATGGTTGAAGAAGCAGATAGAAAAACAGTGAGCTCCTAAAAAACTTTCTATCAATCAACAATCAATAACCAAATTCTTCTTCCTTGCTCTCTCTTTTATGTAAATTTGATTAATTAAAAAAATAGGACTCCCCTCACCCATCTCACTACCTAAAGCAGTGGAAGGCCGAAGGCCCCAATAGGGAAAAGGCGAGCATAGCGAGAATATATTTTTCAAATAATAATCAAAAACCTTTTTCTTCACTACTAAAAATTCGGTCCCAACGTTGGTCGGTAAATTAAATTCAAAAAAAAAAAAGGTATTGCAAAAAAAAATCGATCAAAGTTGGTCGGTATTTTAATTATGTAATCAAAAGATTCACTGTCTGGGAATCGAACCGAGTATGTAGTGTGGCAGGATACTATTCTTCCACTAGACCATTGGTGCATTTTGTTTTAAGATTTTATCTTTTTTTTATTTATACTCTTTAATTGTATTTTCGCACGAAAATAACCGACCAAAGTTGGTTTTATTAAAAAATAAAATTACCGACCAAAGTTGGTCGATTTTTTAAAATGACCGGCCGAATATATCGACCAAAGTTGGTCAGTTTTTTTTTCTAATATTAATTTTTATTTATTTTAATTGCAAAAATCGACCAAAATTGGTCGGTTTAATTATCAAACTAGAAATAGGTAGAATACACTTACCTCAAGATGCTAGGTGAAGTTCTTTTCTCAAAAGCTCTAAAGTCGCCCACTGGAGGAGCGAAAAAGTGTTAAAAATGACTTAGAACCCTTATTAAATGAACCTAACTGCTTCAGCGATTTTCGCATCTGCGGTCCCGCATCTGCGAGAAATAGACCGCATCTGCGAAATGGGCCAAAGAGCTGGGACCGCTTCTGCGGTCTAGAGGCCGCATCTGCGGAGCCGCTTCTGCGGCTTGGGAGCCGCTTCTGCGGTTCCTGGCCTAGCCTGCCCTGGGCCGCTTCTGCGATGGAAGGACCGAATCTGCGGTCTCGCACCTGCGGTCCACCAACCGCAGGTGCGGTTATGACAGAAGCAGCAGCTTCAGCCTTTCCCAAAAATTTGCACTTCACTCGAGCCTCGTCCGATTGATGCTCGGGGCTCCCGGGCCCCGCCCAAACATACCGACAAGTCTAAAATCACGAGATGGACCTACTCGAACCTTAGTAACACTCGAAACAACGCTAAATCTAGGAATCACTCCCTAAAACCAAATGAATCAAACTTATGAACTTCAAGTTCTTAATTTTCCTCTAACGGGCCAAAACACCCTTAAACTACTCGGATTGACACCAAATTTTACGGGCAAGTCTTAAATGATATTTCGGACCTGCACCGGGCTTCGAAACCAACATACGAGCCTGATACCCATGAAATGAATCATTAATGAGTTTCTTTAAATCCTTAAAACTTTAAATTAACAATTTCTAATAAAAATTCATTACTCGGGCTAGGGACCTCGGAATTCGATTCTAGGCATACGCCCAGGTCCCATATTTTCCTGCGTACCCCCCGGAACCGTCAAAACACGAATTCGGGACCGTTTGCCCAAAATGTTGACCAAAGTCAAACTTAGCCTTTTAAGAAAATCCTAAAGAGTCAAATGTGCATATTTCAATCCACATCGTTCCAAATCCCGAGCCAACCATAACCCACAGGTCATAAATTAGTTAAAGCAAGTACGGAGAGTGTTATTTGGAGGAACGGGGTTCTAAAAGGCAAACGACCGATCGGATCGTTACAACTTTTACCTGTCGTAGCTAGTAATATATCTTATTTTCAAGATTACGAATCTCACATTTTAAAAATTTACATGTCGATATTTTTGAGGTGATAGCTGATAGGTGTAAAAATACTTTAAGCTGATTGAAAAATACTTTTACCAATATAAGAGCAGCAAGGAACAACATGTGCTAAATTGGTTATTTTCGATGTCGGTTCCTCACGAGAGTATTGATTTTTGAAGTTGAGACTGAACAATCAAATGTTTTCAAGGGAAATTTTTCTACTTGAAATTGGCTTGAGAATAGAACTTCTTTGAACAATAGGTAGGTGATTAAGGCCCGTTTTACCATAAGAAATTTTTCACTTTTTTTTGAAATATTTTACTTTTTGGGGAATGTTTGTTCATGAGAATTTCGAATTTCACTTGAAGTTGAATTTTAGAATTTTTCGGAAATTTGAAAAACTCTAGAAAGCTGTTTTTCAAAATTTTCACTTCAAATCACTAAGAAAATTGAAAAACAGCTCCAAAGTATGTCCAAACACAACTCTAATTTTCAAATACCATTTTTACTTTTTAAAAAATTTACTTTATTTTGGAATTTACAATTTTTACGTCCAAACGCCCACTAAATATATGGGGACATATTCTCTGTTCCAGTGTGGAATTTTTATTCAGCAATGAGCCTTGAACTGTCATATTCCGAGGCCCCTATAACTTATTTAGAGCAACTTTTGTAATTTAGGCATATGTCAAAATAGCAAACTATTTAACTACTTGATACAATATGTGGCTATTTTGTCAAGACCTTTTTGTAGAAAATGACATATTTATATGTAGTAGTTGGATACATAACCACTTGGTCGTTTTTGGAGTTCGGAATCAAAGTGTGGTATTTCTCAAACGACGAAAATAAGTGATAAAAACAACTGATTACCATTTTATATATAGCGCAATAAATAAACTGCGCTATACCTAATTAACGGCACGTTTGTCCGTTAAGATATAGCGCATGTAATATATACGCTATACTGGATATTTGGAGTATTGACTCCATAGCGCATCAATGACCTGCGCTATCCATGCGATTTGTGCTATTCACTTATGCTCATAGGAAGTTGGCATCAGAGCATTGTTGGTATCTTCTCTTATCAATCTTTGTATTACTAATATAGTATCATACAGCTAGTATAATTTTCTTTTGCAGTATTAAATTTTGTATTATTTATGCATTAATGGTGTAAAAGTTTTTTACACAATCAAGCTACTTGCGCGAAGG